GGGGGGCGCTGGGGAGACAGAAGGCAGCCAGCTTGCGCTCTGCAGGTATGCAGAGCAGAGAGAAGAGCTCTGCAAGGGTGGAGGAAGGTGCTATCAACTCCCTTGAGTGTTTGCAGCTCCCTGATGTCCTTTCTGGTGCTCCAGGCCTTGGTTCTGCCCTCTCTGCATTCCTAAGGCAGAGAGAAGCTGCGGCCCTGTTCTTCACTGTGGGACCGTGCAAAGGCATGGGAGATTTCTAAAATTCTAAATTCAGTCTCTTAACAGTTGTGTCCCATCTGCTGGCTGCATATACCCCAGAATGACTATCAATATTTCCCCCAGCTGGCGGTGGCGAATGTGCGGAGATTGTTTTGTGCATCTTCGGGATTCTGGGATGTAAAAAAGTTGACTTTGGGACATCTCAGTAGCTTGAGGATTTAAGGTCACCATGGTGATGGGCACCAGCATGGACTTTCTCGGGTGACAGACGATCTGATGGAGAGCAAATGGCTCATGGGTTCAGGGAGCTGTCTCCTTGGTACATCATCCCAGCAGTTGCCCCTGTCTTCTGTGCCTGCTACTGAAATCCCTTTGGGGAATTCTCCTTGCCCTGTCCAGGACAAAGTCATCTAAGAAGCTGGTAAGATTCCAGAGGAACGGGCTCAACTTCAGGCATGAGAAAGGACCGAATCTTGGCCCTGACAATTTGACTAACAAATACTTCAGGCTCCCTGAACCTTGGTTTTCTAAATCCATAAAATGGGAATGGTAGTTTTTTACCCCACAGGGTGACTGTGACATTGAAGAAGAATGTCACATGAGAAGGGGAAAATAGAAAGCCCTTACTTCACTATAAAAGGTCAGCTAAGGGCTGGAGAGGTGCCTCTGTCAGCAAAATATTTTACCATGCAGACATGAGGGCCTGAGTTCAATACCCAGGACCCATACTTAAAATCTCAGGAGCAGTGGTGTGTCTTGTCTTCCCAACACTGGAAGACCCCTGTGACTTGGTGACTAGCCAGCCTGGCCTACTTGGTGAGACCATCTCAAACAACAAGGTGAATGGCTCCTGAAGAATGACATTTGAGGTTGTCCTCTGGTCTAAATGCATATGCATGTGCATGCTTGTGCACACTGGGTAAAAATGTTATTAGGGTTGGCAACATGGCTCCGTGGGTAAAGGCACTTCCTGTCAAACCTGATGGCCTGAGTGTGATCCCTGAGATCCACATGATGGAGGCAGAGACTCAACACTTGCAAATGGTACTCTGACCTCCACATATACCCACTCCATTCCACACACACAAATAAATACATTTTTTTTTATGAGACAAGGTTTCTTGGTATAGCCCTAGCTATCCTGGAACTCACTCTCTAGACCAGGCTGACCTTGAACTTAGAGATGCCTGCTTTGCCTCTGTCTACCAAGTACCAGAATTAAAGGCGTGCACCACCACCCACCTAATAAATATAATTTTAATATTTTATCTTTTATTGATGTGTGTCTGTCTGTATGTCCACTATATGCACATAAGTACCCTCAGAGGCCAGAAGATGGGTTGCATCCCTGGAGCTAGAGTTACAGACCATTATGAACTTCCCTGTGTGGGTGCTGGGAACCAAACCCAGGTCCTCTGTAAAAAGCAAGTTCTCATAACCACTGAGCTCTCTCTCTCTCTGTCCGCAATAATGTAATTTTTGAAAAATGTTACCAGACAACCCAATAGTTCCACAGTCTTGAGCCACCACGCCACAGAGGAATTGTGAACTTCCAAGGAAAAATGGTGGGTGGCTTCTCACTGGGGAGCTTTGACAGAAGCCACATTGTCAAGTGACAAGAGTGAGCGTCACCAGCCATGAGCAGACCATCCGATGGCAGCTCCTGACAGCATGGATGGGAAAGGGCACTAGCCTGACATCACTCGTCAGCTGGGAGGTAGAGACAGCAGCTTTAGTGTTGGTATGTAGAAGGAGGAATGGTCAGAGTCACCAGAAACAAGCAGGCAGGGAGTATGCTCTAGAGCACAAGGCCCGAGTCTTGAATGTGTGCAGGAACAGGAAAGTTGAGCTATAAATGACACTTGAGCTCCATCTGAAGAAGTGTGAGAACAAATGACATCCTAGATGGTATGACAGCTCTCAGATGTGATGGTGGTGGTCCTGAGCTGCCACTGGTCCTGGAAAAGCTGTGAGTACTGCAGTATCTTGATGGCTGTGAATTTGCAAATGAGTTGGCAAAATCACACACACACACACGCACACGCAAAGGCACACGCACAAGCACACGCACAAGCACATGCACGTGTGCACGCACGCACACACACAGTGGGAAGAGGAACGTTCATCTGTACATTTATTTATTTTGGTGTGTCTGTGTGAGGGGTGTATCTTAGTCAGGGTTTCTCATCCTGCACAAACATCATAGCCAAGAAGCAAGTTAGGAGGAAAGGGTTTATTCAGCTTACACTTCCACATTGCTGTTCATCACCAAAGAAAGTCAGGACTGGAACTCAAGCAGGTAAGGAAGCAGAAGTTGATATAGAGGCCATGGAGGGATGTTACTTACTGGCTTGCTTTGGGGATTACAGTTGAGTGATTGTTTGAATCTCAGAAGAAACTTTGAACTTTGGACTTCTAACATTGTTGAGACTGCTATTGACTATGGGGACTTTGGAAGTTGGACTAAATGTATTTTGCATTATGCTGTGTTTAGGTATGGCACCTATAGACTTGTATGTTTGAACAAGCCTATGGGGGCCAGGGAGTGGAATGTAATGATTTGTATATGCTTGGATCAGGGTGTGGCACTATTTGGAGGTGTGGCCTTGTTAGAGTAGGTGCATCACTGTGGGTGTGGGCTATAAGACCCTCACCCTAGCTGCCCGGAAGCCAGCACTCTGCTAGCTGCCTTCAGATGAAGATGTAGAACTCTCAGCTCCTCCTGTACCATGTCTGCCTGGATGCTGCCATGCTCCTGTCATGATGATAATGGACTGAATCTCTGAACCTGTAAGCCAGCCCAATTAAATGTTGTCCTTTATAGGAGTTGCCTTGGTCATGGTGTCTGTTCACAGCAGTAAAACCCTGACTAAGACAGGATGCATGTGCACATACGAGTGAGGAGACCAGAGGAGGATATTGGGTATCTTCCTCTATGTTTGTTGTCTTAAGACAGAGTCTCTCCCTGAACCAGAATCACCATTTCAGCTAGGCTATTTGGACAGAAAACCCCAGGATCTGCCTACCTCCACCCCTCTCCCAATATTGGGATTTTAGACACAAGGCACTACATCCAGCTTTTAAGTGGGTACTGGGGATTAGAACTCAGGTCTTCATTCTTGCACAGCACATGATCTTGCTCACTGAGCCATCTCCTCCACCAAGACTAAGAGTTCCGTTTTGTTTTTTAAAGGGAGGATGTCATGGGTAGAATTCCTCTAGTGATTCACTCAACAAGCCTTGGTCCCCTAGTTACATAGAAAGAATGGTGGCTTTGGATTCAAGAGGCTAACAATGGAGAGCCCACAGGATAATGATAATCACAGCCCTGTCTCAAGTAGGAGCAGAAAAGTCTCAAGTTACATAGGGAGACAGAAGGCAGCATGAGGCAGAAAGGGCAGAGGAGACAATGAGACTTGAGTCACCGTGTTAGCAGAAGGAACAGACTTTATGAACCAGTTAACCATTCCAGCCTCACTTCTGGCTGTGAAGAGGGATGAGGCCACGCATCTGTATCACTCGAAACAGATGATAAAGCCCTGTACAAACTAAAGCCTGCTACTGTAGGGAGCCTTCTGTCATTAGCTCAGAACCACTTGGAATCCATGCCCAAGAGCACAGGACCTCAAACATGTTAGGACGGGATACAGGGGAAAACATGGCGACCCTCAGGGCCCTCTCTCTCCTCTCTCTCTCTCTCTCTCTCTCTCTCTCTCTCTCTCTCTCT